TCCAAAAACATAGATCATGTCATTTTTGTTTTTTAGACATGTGTTTCACTTCCTTTTGCTCATCTTTTAGTCATCACTAATAAACTATGACAGAACAGAGTTATCATTTCAAATCATTTTCCCTCAAGTTTTGACATCATTAATAAAGAGTTATCATTCTTACTCATTAACCCTATAACCCAATTTTTGAGAATCTAGAGGCATATGACAGCCTGTGCTCAGGCTGGTTGCTTTGGTTGCTTCAAGGACATTAGACTAAAACAAAATCTTCAACCACCTTGGGCATTTCGCCATGTCTCAAGCAGTGTATTATTAACTCTTAGTGGTCAAAGTGCCCAGAAAAAAATCCTCAGGCTAAAGCTGCTGCAGTTATTATCCAAATTCTAGCATAATACAATCAATGTTCACATTTATATCTTTACAGAATTTGTTTATATGTCTAATCTTGGCATTCTGCTGTTCCTTGGCCATATGACATTATAGTGGCTCTAAATGAGCTAACTTCTGAGAGAGGGAGGTTCTAACACCTCATACTTTTATCATCTTTCCCCTCCATACTTTGCTCACCAATATGTCTCTATGTAGGACAGAGTTGTATGCCACGCAATTTTCTGAGTGTACAGTAGGAAGAGCCTTGTAATCTGAACTGTGTCCAACTCCTCGAGCCCACCCGAACTTGTTGACCTTTTTGAATTTACTTTGTTTTGAATATCTTGTTCCAGTGTAAGTACAGGGACAGATGTTTCAAGAATGTCTCATAGCCTCATGAAGAGACCTCTGGCTTCTTTATGTGTCACAACCTCCAAGGTGTAAGGAAGACCTTCAATTAGATAAGGATATCTCCCTAAAAGTGGGGGTGGGTGGTAGTATGTTCAGGACTTTCCTGGGTAAACTTAGAAGCAGCATTCCTGGGAGAAGGCATAAATGATTCATAAGGAATTTTCCCATCAACCCAATATCCTCAATTATACAAATATTAAAAGTGCCCAAGTATGTAACAGGTGGAGATGAAAACCAAAGGTAGCATGGCAGCCATCATGGGGCTCAGCTTTGCTGGATCCTTGTCAAGCAGCTGTGCTGGCTTTATGACTTCTGCCTTTCCTATCAGATATGGCTGTGCCAGGTAGCCTACTCTTGGCCCTATGATTTTCATTTAACAATCCAAGATTTCTGGAAGAAGCTTCATCTACTTACATTCCATTTTCTGTTGTAAAACATACAAATAAAATTTACCATTTATATTAAATATTTGTAGACAGATCACAAGTTGCCCAGGTTGGCCTCAAACTCACTATATAGTCAAGGATGGTTTTGAACTTCTGATCCAAAAGGATCTGTCTCTGTCTCTGGAGTGATGGGATTATTGGCATGTGCTACCACCCCTATTTTAAGTGGCGCTGGGGACCAAACTCAAGGCTTCATGTATTGCTGAGAAGGTACTGTACCAATTGAGCTACATCCGCAGTCCTATGCCAGTCATACTAATTATGTAGTGAGTCATTCACATGGGATATGACCAACACTGCCGTTCATCTACAAACGCCTCCCGCAAAACTGAAACTGTCTACCTAGGAAATAACCCACTTTGCACCTCCTGGCAATAGCCATCCCTCCCATTGGTGAGTAAATGTCAACATGAATTTGGGGGATGGAGGACACAAGCTTTCAGATCACAGAAAGGCTTCTGCCCAT